ATGGGAGTATTATGACATTATGAAACCAAATGGTTTAAAAATTTCAAGGTAAAATATACTTTAACAGTTAATTTTTATTAAAACTTTTAACTGCCTTTTTAATGTTTCACATCAGTACCCTTTTTATTAATGAAACCCTGGAGCTCATTTAGAAACAAAGAAAAAATATCTACAAAAAACACACCCTGTAACAAAGTTTGCGGGTATAAAACAATTTAGATTCATTACACACACAGATGCCACGAAGTGAAACAAACCAGATTTGTTTTTCATAATTTATATGATAGTTAGCTCCTCTTGTAGTAACACCATGATTCTGTTTGGTATTGTTACTTTGAACTTTTGTTTGTTCTTGCCCGAATGATTAAGTGCCATAACGGCTGTAGTATTGCGTTTCTCAGTGTAAAAATGTACTGTGACGACTAAATAAATACGTTATAACAGTAACGTAATATTTTATTAGCACAACAACTGTAAAATTAACATTTGGAAGCCCGGGCTTTAGGTATTCCTTGAGGCATCGAAGGGCGCATGAATCTTTAATAAACCTAAGTACTGAATTAACCACGGTAACGTAATAACGTTGGAGAACAAGATATATATTTCTGTTATTTTAGGAAACTTAATAACAGCTCACCAAAATAGGGATTAATATTTACTTAAGGAGCTTACGAACGTAAATAGAAAAGAAAGAGGACACGGGTAAATTCAAGAACCTTATAACGAATTTGAGTTGATCTTTGTAATAGGCTTTTTATCTTGAACAAATTGAAAAAAAGATTGGATAAGTTTTATTGAAATCAGAAAGTGTGTGAAGTAAAAAGAAGGGATGAATTATCTTAAAATAGAATGTGTAAATGTAAATAGAAGATGAATAAAGGTAAAAACTGAATGAGTTGTTTATATGAAGAAATACATATTGAATCTGTATACGAGTACATATGCACTCAGTTTGGTTCTCATATTGATTGTTTACGTATCTGTCTAAGATAGGTTTGTCTGTACAAAAGCATTCACAAATTCGTGTGCTCTACTTGATAGACTTGAGAAATGTTAAAACGCAACGCACATTTCTTGATGTTTTTTAATGAAATGACTTAAACGAGCTAATATTATATGTATTGGGAGAGGAGTAGTAAAAGAAAACTAGAAAAGCAAATATTAATGATTTGCTTTCTATTTAAAAACGATACAAACTTAATGTAACATTCCAACGATTTTAGCTGTACTGTCTCTCTCCTGCAAATTGGACCATATTTTTCGATAGCCTTTAATTATATTTTTCAAAATATTGTATTTTTGCTTTTACTTCATTATTCATTAATTTCATATTTTACGTTTATATTAAACGTCTAAGTTTTATAACTTTCGGTAGCATATATCGTTAAATAATAGAGATTACAATGGGTACTCACTCAGAATCTCTTTTGAAAATTCATTAGTTACAATTCTAAAGTTACAGTTAGAAGTTAAAACATCTAACCGGAAAGGTGTATCTAAAATATGTAAGTCTCTTTGTGGGTGAAATTAGAAGTCGTTTGAAACACATACGTTTTATTCAATTTACATATTTATTAGGTTCGTAACTTGTTAACAATGGCGCCTATCTTTTTGCTCGATTATGTTTAACAGGTAATCGAGTGGGGTAACATTTCAATTATTTATTTATGGAGGAGATCTTTGAATAATGGAATTCTCCTTTGTTAAACAAAAGCTTTGAGTTATCCAATTTCCTAATTCAAATCAACAAATTTAATTGTATTTGTAATTATTCTTAAATAATTTATAAGTAACTGATACAAATCACTTCACAGAACAATATTATAAAAATAATTTTCATTCCATTCAGTCATTATATTTTTGTTCTTAGAGTTTATAAATTTTGTGTTATATTTTTTGTTTTATAGTTTTTAAGCTTGAAGTCAATCATGTAATCGCACCTTTCTTAACGCATAAGCATCTTTAAAAAATGCTATGTATTTTGGAATTTAGTTCAGAAAAACTTTATTTTCGGCTTTTAAAGTTTGTGATAAAATGCTACAAAGATGTTTGACCATTAGAAAAAGATGAAAAGAAGAGGAATAAAAAAGAAGAACAAGGTAAACATCCTTAAATATTATTGACAATGTTGAGACCACTACAACTTATACAAGTATGTATCTTAAAATATTTTGATAGAAAAAACTGTTCGGTTATACCTACCTATTAATACCTCATCATCATCATCTCTATTAATACCTATTTATCTAAATGAGTTTTTTACCGTTATAGTTCTTTTTTGGTTATACAGACTACTTTTACACTTTTCACACATTTAAACATTCAATCTTAAAATTAAAAACGTATACATATAAAGTTAAAGAAGTAAGGAAGTCGGTTATTCTATTAATAATGTTTATTCTTTCTATACTCTTCTTTTTTCATTCCAAGCAGGGAATCCGGAGCTCTTTCTTGAGAAATTCAATTATCTAATAGGCGTGTATAAATCAGATCCATATCTCATTCTTTATTGTTAAAGAATTTTCCGCTTGCCTGGTGTAGCGTACGTAATCCGTATTGAGAGAATTTTCATACTCAATTTGCTGATATCTTTAGTAGCAAATTGACTTGACATAACTACCGCATTTCATTAAAGTCGTTATGTTTCTGAAGAATTCAATAATATTAGTGAATGCGAAACGAATGCATGCTAGAGAAACTGCATAAGAGGTTTTTAGACTTTTGATGCCTGTTTCTGTTTGAGTCACTTACATAAAAACAAATTTTTAGTACACTTCTTACATTAAATTCATACAAATTACACTATATGAATTCATTCTAAATAGCTAAACTAGCTTTAGTATAGCATTTAAACTGCACAGCATCGTTATGCATAATAATAATTGGCGTTGTCGAAGTCTAGAACGTGACGTGTCTACTTTGGGCTCTACTGCATATTCTACTGAATGTGTAAGTTTTCAAAAACAGAAACGTGGGGCATAGGTTATTAAGCGAGCTTTTTGGGAAGACAAGTTGAAAGTAATCTTGTAGGCAATAGATTCGACAAGTATATAAAAATGCTTTAGGGCGAGGACCCCGTTTATTACTAGCTAGTTATTTCTGCATTAATAAATTCACTCATGTCATGTTACGTGTAAAACTCCTCCTGAACAAATAATACTTTGATCATAATGGCCGGTCTTAATTACTCAAGCCTTTAAAGCTTCATATGCAATTAGGCTACATCTTATTCGCCTTTGTATTTGTTATGTAAATTAGACTTAGTTATTTGTACTTACTAATTAAATTAACATGACTTGGACTATGAAAATATGATACGTGTCCCATATTTTCTCTGTAACAGTATTTGTATAGGTATATGAAGGTTAGTACAGTTTTTTCTTTACATAATTCATGAGCAAGTTTTGATGATAAGAAAACCTAAAAAGATGACTTGATTGATGATTGTTTAATGTCAATAAACAAGATAATTCTTTTATATCCTAACGTTGAAGCACTGAAACACTTATTCCAAAATTCTGTCTGTGCAATGTTATTACAAACAAAAAGAAACGTGTCAAATAAAGTTACTCATCAAGATTTATAGAAAGAATAAAACGCCCGTTAATAATAATTTTCCTGTTACTATTTGTTAAAAGATGTGCCAGAAATTCTAAGAATTAAAGTTTTATAATTTATTACCGTTTATTTTTTTTTGACATTTAACAGTTGAATGTTAGAAGTATCAAAGAAATCCCTTCAGTTCTTGAGAAGCTCTAGAACCTTTCAAATGGCAGCTCGAAACATAAATCTGTCCTTAGTCTAAATGTTTGCCGTCACTTCTCGAAGTTCAATACATATTATGTGGACTGAATCTTTCAGATGTAAATTATTGTGCCATTGAAAATATTACTACCTACATTCTCTGCCGAACTATATACGAGTATGTACATATATGTTCCCACAGTTTTTTTTCATAGCATATTCATATATCGTTTTTATAAAATTAGTAATATATATATACACATGTACACAAAACATTAAGGTTTAGGTGCCAATGGCTATAGGTTACATGCTTATAGCGTTGGTCTTCTAGAAGTACCTACACGAATTTCGATTTTATAATTAAAACTTTACAATTTAAACATGACAATAATATCGGCTTATATAAGTCGGCTCTTACGACGCCCACGGGATGAATAGGGGTGGTGACACTCTGTATTCTTAATCCGTCACTACACGGACTTCAGTATTTGGTATAAATTTCAACTTGCTAGGTCTACCCATTCCTGAGAAAATGGGGCTGAGGTGGTGACACACGGACAGACGGACAAGAAAGTGATCTTATAAGGGTTCCTTACCTTCTGAGGTACGGAACCCTAATAACATAATTCGGTATTTTATCATGTGTGTTGCGCTCAATACATTTGTCATTACCGACGGATGACTGCACCAGTGTCATATTCCTCTTGTTATTAGCCCAGTGAAGCGAAAATAGATAGTTAGACGTTGCATTCGAAATATAAAAGGATATTACGCAGTCTTCAGACTATTCCACGGTTTTTATGTTCATGGTCGCCCATAAACTACGCAGTTTTATTTCAGTAGCCTTGTAAGCGCGTGAATTTCGCTCATGGTAGATATTTCACGAATCGAATATGGGATCTCATTATTAATGTTATTTGATTTGATTCTCTCTCTTGTTTGTGCCATAAGTACAGCAAATTTCTAAAGTTTGGTATAAATCGCTAAATACTGATTAAATAAACTGTGTCTTCTAAAGTGTATTTGTTTTTCTTGTAGTATTTTTTCAATGTATTGTTTTACTTATCATAATAATAATATAATAATAAGAATAAATGAATTATTTTCCTTGTGTTTTTCTTCGATGATTTAAATTTAAATAAATCCGGATTTTAATCATTTAAAATGTCGGCTAATTATTACGCATAAAAAGTAATTATATTTCCAATTATAACAATACTTACTGACTTAAGATAAATAGTATGTTAAGAAAACGATTACCATAATAATATTAGTCTTGAAATATATTGAAAAGGATATGGATTAGTGATGAGTTTAAGACACCAACTCCTGGGTCTCGTGTCTTGCGTCAAATATCGGAGGGCGAGCGGAGTAAAGCCAGGGTAAGGCAAACCATGCCCCACCGAGCTCTCCGTGCTCAACCCTCCCTCTGAATCTGATTCACCTCCATCAGAGTCCGAGCACCCTCCACTAGAGTCCGACTCGGGCCCGCCCTCTCGGTACCCGTAGTAAGGCATCCTCTCCCGTTCACCTGACATCCACTTAACTTATAAGCTCATTGTATCACTTAGTAACAATCTTTCAAACACTATTTTACCATCTTCCACTCACTTAGCTCAACTATATAAGTACGTGTCCGTTAATATCGGAAGAGTATGTTTTGACTGCTCCGTCACACTATTGAGCACATACTCCATCGTCGGCGGATTTGATTTTGATGGACAACACTATCTGGAACAAAAGAGAAATATAATTAAAATCATGATTTAATAATAATAATATTTCGGACATCTGACACACAACGCCATCTAGTTTCGAACCAAGCAGAGCTAGTACTAGTACTATGAAAACTAGATTGACTAATCGAATACTCATATACTTTTTTTTGTAAATACATACTGATTATACATAGAAAACACCCAAACTCCGAAACAAATATTTGTAGATTATACAAGCATTTGGTCCGACCAGGGAATCAAACCCGAGACCTCAGCACAGCAGTTACATACGCTACCACAGCACCCTCGAGGCATTATAGGAAGTAATTATTCGTTTATAGGGTCAGTATGGTCTATATGTATTTTGAGTAAGTGCGGGCCTAAAAAAGGCGGCCTTTCCTGAAATATTTATGTTATATGTTTAATAAAACCAAGTAATTTGTTATCATTGACTGAAGCGTCATAATTTTCGCTAGAAACTAACCACCAGTAACCACCACATTGCAAATGCCTCCAATTCGAAGGCTCAAAGTATTAACAAGTTCTTTGATTTAAGGATTACATAGGAACACCATTAGTTTTCTAAATATTTATTGGCACAAATATATAAAGTATTAATACTTTTATAAAAAAATAAGGGTATAACAGAGCAATAACGACATGAATAAGTAATACACGACTTCACTGTTTCATTCTTTTCTCAGACTATTTTTCAACACCAAACTTTTTTCGGAACTTCTTGCAAGGAAAACTTTATTTCTTATACATTACTTTTAGTACAGAAGTTTGAATATACTTGCCATTGTGGTAGTGATGATAGTGTAATTCTAATATAAAATTTATAGATCTATATATTACTTGAGTAACTTAGTCCTTCTATTATTTAGGCGAGTTAGACTTGTCAGCAAGTGATAGTTTGAATTTTTTGGCCTCGCTTTTCTTGAGCTATTATTTATCCCATTAATTCGTCTGTATAATTAAAAGTAATATCCTTGTCATTCGATTGCCCTCCCTTTTTGCTTGCCTATACCTTTTTATATGCTTTTATTTTCCAATGTTTAGTTCTCAAAATGCCCGTGGGTTACCTACTACAAATCAGTCTGGGGTAGAGAGATGTCGGGGATACAGGCGGGGAAACGAGCAGGTTTTTTCCAAATTTCCCTGTCAGATTTTCCAAGTTTGATTATTTTTAAACCTCCTTCCTAAGGAGAGGTCTGTCTTCAGGAGTAGGCAAATAAAAGCTGTTGATGTGTGTTTGTGATGTGATTATATTTTACATTTTATTTAAATATTTTTGTATCTTCTATCGTATTGTAATTAGACGTTAAAGTATTAATTGCATAAACGTTAGGTACATATTTATGTTTCTTTAATTTTTCGACTAGTAATTTTGCAGTATAATGTCCGAATTGAAAGCTGAAACCGATTTTCAGAGACCAGTTGGACCACAAGGTTTTTTAAACTGAGATATGTGTTTATATATTCGAGGTTGCCTATGCAATTTATCCGTAGAAGGTGTACATATATATATTAGGTCTAAAATTCTTGAGGATAGGATGGCGGCCTGATTGCATTAAGACGCAATTGGGCCGATAAGTCGTGATTGAGCGGGGTTTGGGATTGATCCCCTGAGATAAAGCCTGATTAGGCATGGTGTCAATCCGGGGAGGATCTGAAATAATATGGTCCGGGTCCTCCCAGAATAAGGTACCTGAGGTCGGCCGTCAGGATGGTTTTTAGTTTAATCAGCATATACTCCTGACTCCTAAGTCTCCGAGGAGCAGAAGATAAGAAGGGATTTTCCACCCCGTCAATAAAACAAAAGGTCTAAAATTCTTACATAATTTCTTCGCTGTTCACAGATATTTTCATTTTATAATAGATTTCTTTTTAAAAATGAAAAAAAAAAACTTATTTCTGGAAAGCAACGTTTTAAATACTAACGATACCTTCATGTGTGGCCAGTAGTTCATAAACACTGAATGAGTGAACGAATAAGTGGTCGCAATTTCATTAATATTTTGGAAAGTAAAGCTAGTCCGCCGCATAATTATGACGACAAAAATGACTAATGAGCTTTCTGCGTACACAAAGGAAGCGATAAAATATTTATAGAATTCTCCCGTGCATGTAATTCTTACGTCAAGGTGGGCAGAGCTGAAATGTATTTCGTATAGCAGTTCACTTAAATAACTAAACTCTCGTTATTTAATGTGACAAATGGCGATTAATAGGAACTTATATAACATAATATAGAAAATAATTTTAAATTTTAATAAAACTTTCGTTACTGTCTTTTTTAATATTGACCAGTATTTAGTGAAACTGATATTTATTGAAGCAATCAAACAGTAGAAAAACTGTGATCCTTTTTAGCTACAGTAGATATTCTTGGAGCTAAAAAGGAAAATATTTACAATTCAGAACGACATGATGATGAGTATCCAAGTTTTCTTTTATGTAAACTGTTTGATAAAACAGTTAACATAAAAGTAAACTTTGATAATCATGCCTTTCTAAGTTCAAGCAGACAAGTAGAGATTGTATAATAGTAAATGATTCTTAAACGAAATCTTTCAGAATCACTGCTCAAGCAGGCCAGGTGGCGGCGCGATGCGATGGTTGTTTAGATTTTAGCCCAAAATGTACGTCATTTATTTCACGTGTGTAGAATTTTATGCTGAGGACCTTATCTCCCAATCATAGCATAACTAAAGAGCCAAACTCATTAGGGAGCCTTACTTCAGTCAGATAGTATCGCTATACGAAAGCTTAGGGAAATGAAGTTAAGAATTTCAAAACGTTTGAAATGAAAAGAGCGTTTTGTAGTTCACGAGAATGCAGTTCTCATTTACTCAGCGGATGCCGAACGATTTCGGACACAAACAAAAATTTTACAGTCGGCAATTAAGCGTTGACGGGCGTTCAAACGCGACGGCCACCGGCCAAATTACTGCCGCGTTAATTTTATATGTACTCACCGATAGCACCGACTCGACCGAGTTTATCGCTCCATCTTCATTAAAACCATGTAACCAACCAAGCTTATTAACTAACATTTATACCACATTTTGATAGATGTTCGCTGCTGTTTGCGGTTGCTTAGGTTTTCTGTAATAGACCTTTAAGCTTTTCCAGTAAACGATATGTTGCTTTATTGCTACTCCAGTGGTAGTAAACTTTTATGAATGTAATCTGGGTACGGCACTACTGTAATTTTTTGAAAATTTAAATTTGTTTATTTTGGGGCAAACATTAAAAATGATTTTCAAACATACATACTTACTGCTTTTAGTTTTACCAATACTAGTATGTGTGGTAGTATTTGTTGTGATTTTCCCACACGATTACCCCTACTATTTTTACCTATTCAAGGCTCGCTACCTGTTGATCTCCACTAATTGTAACCAGAAAGTAGGAGTCTAAAAAGAAGCCAAACTCATTATCAGACACTGCTTCACGGAGAGCCACGCTTCAGCGAGGACAGCTTCGGGACCGGTTCGACCGAAGTGATGTCACGGCCTCACAGAAAACCGCTATTAAGCTACCGGTATCAGCTGGTGTCCAAGGACAACAGGTGTATAAAAAAAAAACTACAGATTTAGAAGGATTTGCTTGGTCTATAAAGTTTTTATTTTGAGAAAAGTAATAACATTCAGGGCTTAAAAACCTCAAAAATTTTAATGTTATTCCAAAAGCTATCAATGAATTCTCCTTTTACAATGGAAATTTTAATAAAAATGTTTTGAGAAGGTTATAGCACACATCGGTTTCACAAATATTTTTTCCCAGAGAAATTGAATTGGGAGCGGCGACAAAGTGTGGAGAAATGAAATGACCGTCATATTTCAGTAACCACAGAACAATTCCACTCGGGCTCATGTGAATGATTCGGATCAAAAAGACGTTTACGAAATAGAAATCTTACGTCCTTTGTTATTTTGATAAATATTAGGCTGTTGACAACACTTATGATAAAATATTTCTGAAACGAGAACAGCTAAAACTATTTCTATTTGTGTGTAACTATTTCTACTGTTTTTTTTTCGCTATTATTTAAGTACAAATGTACAAACACTATGTTATTTAATTTACTTTATTATATTAGCCGTCAAATTTACTATTACATAATTTGTAAATAAATTATTCTTATTAATTTTAGTTTTATTGCTTTTAAATCTTTTATCTATGAATTAAGTAAGATATATTTTTACTCCTTTTATTTATTAACGTACCTAATTCATATAGTTTAGTTACGCATTAAACAAGACCAAGAATCACTTCCACCTACAATGTTTGTAGGTGGAAGTGATTCTTGATCTTGTTTAATAATATATTCGAGTTTAAAGATTTCTCCTAACATATGTAAAGTATTCTGAAGATTTCAAATGAATTAAACTTCAAATCAAAACTTTAAAACCAGACAACGTAAACGCAAAAAATAATGACATAGAAACACTAAAAATGCTAAGACTAGGAATACTTTGTAAAGATGCGACACTACTTCTAATAACAATGTCGCAAAATGCTAAGTAGGTAATATAGGCTAAGTAATGGTGCAGAACAAGGCAATCATCATGCTATATTCCAGCAAATCGATTACTGCCACTGTTCCACCCATTTTATGAGTATTTTCTTTATGTAATATTCTTGGTTAACATTATTTTGACTTTTAATCTCTAACTTTTCCATTTAATAAAATAACAAAGTAGTTTGCTTGAACTTGTTTGTGACCTATCACATAACATATTAAAAGCTTAAACTTTTTTGATTACAGCAAAATGCCTAGAGACAAATTGAAACGATGCTTATGTTTTCTT